CGGCCCGCCCCCCCCGCCGCCTCGCCTCACGCCTCAGCGAACCCGGCGCTTCCTCTCTTTCTGTTTCTCGTCCCAGCTAGCGTTCGGAGAAACCCACCCACGCTCCCCCCCCCCGCGTTTGGCTGCGGCGGGGTGGCGTGAGGCCGGGCGCCTCGGGGAGATTCCTTCCCCTTTTCACACAGAAGTGTCTGGAGACTTCCTCGCCCCCCAGCCCCTACAGTGAGAAACACCCAAACCAGCAATTCTTTCCGCTGGTTTTGTGGTGGGGTTTGTTGTTTGGGTTTTTTTCTTCTCGCGGGCTTCCAAAGGCGCTGGGCAAAGCGGAAGGAGGTAACGCCGGGGGTGCAGCAGAGCGAAGCGGGAGGCTGAGTTTCGGTTCGAGGAGGAACCCTGATGGCAGGCAGGAATGTCCTCCCTCCGGTCCACGGGGACGGAGCTTCAAAACGGGGCCTGTTCGGGGCTGCGGCTTGAAGCAGGTGACCTCCAGAAGACCCGTCCAAGCTAAATGAATCTTTACCTCTGTGCTGCGCTCCTGGAGGTACTTTTTAATGGTCCAAAGTACCCGGCTAGTGCTGGGAGCAGCATCCACGGGGAATACAGATGGACCAGCCAGCCAGCCCTTTGTGTGGTCCGAACCAGTGATCTTCTCAAGTCTCACTTCAAACGCTCCTTTCTTCGTCCATCTCACACTCTGGCCAGCAAGCACACAGTTAACCTGCAAAGGAGTTCCCCACCACGTGAAGAGGAGCAGTGAAAATTGTAGCTTCCCAAAGTGTCCCTTCAGGTGACTAAAGGCAGCTGCCAGTAAATGAGGGAGAGGACATTTCCTGGTCGCATCCTGCAGGGCTCTGCCACTTCTCTTTCACGTCTCGGCTGATGGCAGCTTGTATGGACAGAGGCAAAGTAGTAGTTTGCAAATTAGAAACTTACTTACTGGGGCTGAGCCCGTCAGTTCAGACAGAGTACATCAAATCCAGCAACGTATCCTAAGCCGTGAGGTACCCCTCTAAGCTGTAAGGACTAAAATGGGAAAAGAATACAAAAATGAAAGGCACAAAACAATTTTTCATGCTAGAAACTTAAAACCATGTGTCAACATTTTGTTTTATACAACAGCTACACTAGGCTGTGGGATCAATCTGGCCTGGCAGAATCCAGTTGCTGGCCCATTCCCCACTGCTAGCTACAGCTGAGTTGTTCCAGGGGCTTAACGCCTCCTCTCTTGTTTCACGATCAAAATGTAAGTATGTTCAGGCATGCAAAAAGCAGCTGCTTGAATGCTTGGTCAAATAGCGCACTTGGGGGATGTGGTGGGTACATACGAGACAGGCCGAGCAAGCAGACTCTCAATGCTGTACCAGGAGCGCAGACATGCTCTGGCCCACAAATGTGCGTCCGTCATGTGCATGCATGTGCAACTTTTGCATGCACATTCAATCATACAACTGTGGGACAGGGCACTTGGATGTTTTGGTAGGAAGATAAACTTTTCCCCCATGGCTGGAGTCCTGAACTGTTGCAAGGTAAATGGTTCAAAAGTGCCTTCTTCATATGTATAAATTGTAGCACCGAACAGAGATGCAGCACAATTAAATTAGGGGAGGGGTTTGAAATGAGGAACTGAAGAAAATCTATGCTGTATATCCAGAGGTTAATTGACAGAAGAACAAACAAGACGTCCCTACACCACCACTTCAGCACCTTTCATCAGCATCAGTCTATCTTTAAAATGTATTTTTTTGCTGTAAACCAGTGATGTGTAGGAAAAAGGCGATCTAAATCAATAGCAATGACAATTAATAATGGATACTGTCTGAAAGAATGTAAGGCAGACAAGCTTTTGAAGGGAGTATTCCAAGCAAATGTTTTATTGCATCGCACTAAGACAGCATGCATTTAGGCATCGTTACAGAAAAAGAGGTCAAGGAACCTCACTGACCAATTTGGTATGCTTGGCTAACTCCATCCAATTACTTAATCACTTGCCCCCTCAAATTCCAAATGACTGAGTACCTCCATCTATCATAGAAAAGCCATTTAGAACAATATGTGTGACATACTGGGCTCCATTTTGATCAAGTGTCCTCGGTTTGCCAGTTACAATAGGTTTCATAATACAATCTAATTTATGCCAACATCTGGTAGGTACAGTTGCATTTGTGATAGGCAATGGGCATGGCTTTGCTATAAAACAATATTTTCCCAACCTTCAAGCCAAATATTTGTTTAAAGGTTAGAACATGTTTGCCTAAGAACACACCCCTCTTCAGTGGTGATAGGAAACTGTAACTGGGTAGCTGAACAGTTTTATTTACTGGCCGCCTTCAGTTTTCCATTTTTATGAATCACTCATTCTCCATTTTTAGAAGTCTCTGACACTTGGAGGCTTGCTGGGCTAGAGAGAAAAGGAGGACTCTGCTGAACAGAACCTGCACTGCTCTTATAACTCAGTTTCTCCCCCACAGGTTTTTGGAGGCATGGCCCAGAGGGAACAACAGCAGAGCAGCACAGCAGTGTCACCAAAGTGTTCACAATCTTGCTTCCAAAGCAAATGTCTGGACAGTCTAAGTTTGAGCCACCATTGTTCATGTTTGTGTTTTATCTCAAAGTCCTTAATATGCCTGATAATTTAATTACAGATTTCATTGGGATAGATGTGCAGAAAGGTGTCAGTCATAATGTTCAGTTTTCTGACTTCAAGTGATCGTATTTACCATGATGATATTATATGTGAATGCAATTATGTCATTCCAGTTTCATTCCAGATTATGCTATGTCCATTTTCACATTGTTTTGCTAGTCAAGGATCAAGCTAGTCAAGGATCCAGTGTACTGAATTCAGTGTTATGTACTGTATAATACAAAGTCACAACATGCTTCAGCAAGGAGCGACTGAAATTTTGGAGCAGGCTGTTACAGAACAGCCTTCTTCAGCAGAAGTTTCGTTCTACTGTGATCATCCCTCTCAATAAAACATGAATCCAGTTAATAAAGCATACCACATCATCACATCACTCATCCACTGGCTACACTTAGTGGTGACTGGGCTCCTTACTGCTGGAGAAATCCAGCTGCTAGCAGAGTGAAGAAACCCACTATTGGTAGATACTGCTGCTCTCTATCACACCAAACTCCCCTCTGGGGTACAGAAAATACAAGTACAAGCTGCCTGTCTACAAGGGTGGAAGAGAAGACAGACACTCTAAATTCACCCACAGAACTGAGACAGAAACCACGTTTGTGTCCTGGGGTGGTAGAAAACCATAGAGTAAGTTAGTAGTCTCTCTGACTCTGCTGCCTGGGGAGACAGGACAACTCGCCTATCACATCACTGGGCTAGCAGCTTCTCTAGCGTAGTCCAGAGGCTGAGAAAATCCTCTTGTACATAAGAAATGCAAGGCCCTCTCAGAGCTGTGTGAAGCACTGACATTTTCTGTAAGGAGAAGTGAAATTGAAATAAAGAGGGTTTGAGCCTGTTTTTCCCTGAGCTTTTTGGTTAACTAAAAAAATCTTTTATTACTCACATATTTCTGATGAAATGCTAAAGTGCTCCAACCACCAGAAGACTCAAGGAGATGGTGGCAGGCTGGAGGGAGATGACAGCCTGGTGGCAGACAGTGACCGGAGAGGGGGACAACTGTACTCTAGTCTTTTGTCCAGTGAATGTAAATGACATTAGACAAAAACAGTAGCTTCAGTGAAAAGCAAGAACAGCTCACAACAGTGCCCCAGTGCCCAGAGACTGGCCTATGCTGAATGGCATATGGCAAAGAGGAGATTTGAGCTGGGGCTCTGGTGCTCTAATCGCTGAGCTCTAGACCCTGAGGGGAGGATGAGTCTGGGGAAAGGGAAACACCCACGTTTGGCACTGTTACTAATATCAAGACTATAAAATATTTTCATCACCAAAAAGAAATAACTGAAGGTAACTCATATACACAGAGTTTCAAGTTGACTGAAAGGATTTTTTTTTCCCCCCAAAAGAGTAATCTCAAGGGAAGATCACAAACATTTCGACATCAGTTAGATAAAAAGATTGTTCCTCTCAAAGTATAAATAATTACGCTGAAGAACCTTAAGTCCTGAGAAGCAGGGTAAATAAAATCAGTTACTAGACAATAATTGTCCTGACAAACCTGTTCTGCTCTGGCATACCTATAGCATGAGCTCACAGTATAGTGGACAGAGGAGGTGGTGGTGGGGAAGAGTGGGATGAACCAGGACAGCATGGGAGCCAGTAAACAGTTACGTGCAAAGAACATGAAATATTATCAAAGCTGTGGCACCCAGACGGCTGAATATTGAATAGCAATAGGGAACTGATTTGTCCTTCAGGATTTTTCTTCAAATTTGGCATGAGTATAAATTCAGTGGTTATAGCAAGTCTAAAGTCTGACTGATCTGTTCTAAATTATGCATCCATGAAGAAAGATAGCCGTAAGTGTAAGATTCTCTGAATTCACTTCCATTAAGGATTCTGCCACATTTAACTGTTCCCATGAATATTTTTTTTAATGAAGCTGCGAAGAAGTAGAATCCTTCATAATTTGCTGTATCTGTTAAATGGAGGCTGGAACAGAATACATTTCCCATTGTAGAAGAAAATATATCTGAATGATTGTTTCTGAACACTCAATTTGTGGGCTTTTGCAAAAGTTAATATAAGGTCATCCAGTGGCTCTGATTGAATGCCATGCCCCCATGGGCAGGCAGGCTGTGGAGTTTTAAGAATCACATCCTCACAGGCACCAACACAGACGTAGTTAAGTTGAGAAGCAGTCAGATGGGTTGCCATGTGTTCTGTTTCGGATGGG